GTATGGTCCATCCTGGGCTAGCTGCCAAGGGGTCAGTGAGCAGGAACCAGGCAGACTCCCTCTGCTGGCTGAGAGTCCTACTGATGAAACATAAGCACAAACCTCCAGCCTCTCCCAATCCAGTCCACACTTGCACACATCTGCACCTTCCCAAGGCCACAGACCTGCTCAGCCTGCTCCCCTGCTCAAAAACCTTCAGTAGCTCTCTGCTCCACTCGAAAGGAAGCCAGCCCCTGGTTAGCCTCTATTCCTTGTGTATCTCCTGCTCTCTCCTACTGTGCTTCTGTCTTTGTAATCCAGTTCTTCTCTGTGCCTTTGTTCCACTCTCCCATTAACCGAAGGCTATGGATTAGTCAGCCTTCTCATTGCTGGGACAAAATACTCGATACCCATAAGTTAAAGGAGAGCTTCACTTGGCTTGTGGATTCAGTGGGTTTGGTCCATGGTTGGCTGGCTCCAACACAGAAACAGTATGGTGGACAGGCCTGGCAGAGGAAGCTGCTCAACTCATGGAATCCAGGAAGCAGAGAGAGGGGAAGGGGACAGAACACACCCTTCCAGGTCATGACCCCATTGATCCACCTCTTCTAACCAGGGCCCACCTCCTAGCAGCACATTCACCTGTGAACTCATCAATGAATCAATTCACTGATGAGTGTGACAGCCCTACAAAAGCACCACCTCTGAACACATGAGACCTTTGAGGGACATCCTAGATCTAAACCATAACAGACAGTCTGTGTACATCCACAGCAGGTGAGAGGGCTCTGGGAGCACTCCCCAGTTTCTCCACCTCATGCTCTTTCATGCTCCTTTCTGCCTTCTGCCTTAGACTTACGTGAGTTCTTGACCCTCTGCTCTGCCAACCTGGGAGATTGTGAATGGAGGAGATAATGAAAGAGTCAGGTTTGTGTTCTCCCCTCTGGATGAATTTCTGGTCTCACTGCTGGCATCTCATGAGTGTTGGTTCAGCCTATGCGAGTTTTATGAGTACTTCATTTGTGCCCCATCTAGGGCCCAGTGGTGCCATGTGTATTATTTCTTTCCATCTTCACAGGAACTCTGATCCCTGTCACATCAACCACTTTTACAAATAAGGAAACCAAGGCTCAAAGGAACTGCCCCTTCATTTTTTCATTCAACAGACATTTAATGAGTACCCACAATGTGACAGGCTCTGTGCTGGGCTGTGGGAAGGGGCACTAAAGATGTTGCAGAGGCTACTGACAGGCAGACTGAGAAGCATCTGAGTTGGGTCATAGGAGAATGATTAGGGAGTGCTTGTGGGAGGGCAGGAAAGGCAGTGGGCAGCCTGAGTGGAAGCCTCTGCCAGCACTGTAGGGGCCCTAAAGATGAACAGCCTCTCAGGGATGTCCAGGTTGAAACAAGGGAGTTCAGTTTCTATTCCCTATGATGATCAGTCTGGGTGAGGCTGTGTCCCGATGGGTGAGGACCAGACACCTTGTTCTGTTCCCTTGTTCAGGCCATACCTGCAGGGCACACTCAGCTCCGGGCATTGGCCAGCAGTACTCCCAGCAGTTGGGGGTTGGGAGCATCTACCAACAGAAAGAAAGTCTTTGACCTCAAGGGGCTTATATTCCATCAGAGGAAATGAATGGTGAGGGATGAAGCCAGCAGACTGGAAAGACTATCACACCTCTGCTTACAGAAAAAAGCTCTCATTTCACAGCTAGGCAGGGAAGCTGAGCTGCCACAGGGTAAATGACTCAAAGCCTCACCTCCAAACTGGGTCACTGTGGCTCCAAAATTTATCCCTCCACTGTGTACATGGAAGTGGAAGTTGCATGATTTCTAGTATATAAGTATGGGTTGTGGAAGTCACATGAGCCTTGAATGTCAAGCTAAGGAGCTGGGACTTGATCCTGTAAACAGTGGGGAGGATTTGGAAGTACACAGTAAAATATGTGTGTAGGAGATTGTGGGTGTGGGCATGCAGAATAGCGCTTAATGCAAAGAGACAAGCTTCAGAGCGAGACCTGGGTCTAGAGTGAATATGTGCTTGGTTCAGGAACTGGGAGTGCAAATGAGACTGGATCCCTTAGGGGGCTATAGCCTGCAAGAAACAGAGAACCCAGCTTAAAGTGGCTTAGCCAATAAAGCCACACAAGTAAGTGAGCTGGGAGGCAGACTTTGGGTTCTCAGTTCAGGCAGGTGTGCAGGAGGTCACATAAGGAGCCAGTTTTCTTGTTCTCTCTTGTCCTAAGGCTGCTTCTTTTCTGGTCCTAAGATGCCTGCAGTAGCAGTTGGGGCTACATGTTTTTTGCTAGCACAGTAGAAAGGCTAACCCCTCTCAACCACACAAGTCCTTCTTTGCAGCCCAGTTAAGTCATATATTTAGCCCTGGATTATAATAACACAAAGAAAAATCTGCCATGTTGAGCTGGGATAGGATCAGCTTTCCTGGAAGAACCAGGCAGGAGGCATGGATCCTGGGGCAGATGTGTGGCTGAACTAGGAGCAGGGAGTGCCAGGATGGCTGATAGGCAGGGAACTCCCGCTGCTTGCTACAGAGAACAAAGGACTGGCAGTTTGAAGGCAGACATAGTGATTGGTTGAATTGAAGAAGAGGGATAAAAAAGTGTCAAAGATAAACCCAGTTGGCAAGGAAGATACTATCCCAGCGTACAAAATGGAGGGGGTGGGGGAATTTTCTTCAGGAGTTCACTTTTTGTTTTTGGTACCAGGGATCGAACTCAGGTCCTTGCGCTTGCACAGCAGGCGGTGAAACCACTGAGCTAAATCCCCAGCCCTGGAGTTCACTTTTTAATAATTTGAGTTTGATGTGACTTGGAAACATCCCGTCCATTCTGTTTTGCAACAGCTAAAGACATAAGTCTTTGATCTTGGGCTCAAGATCAAGCAGGATGGAACCCAGGAGAGAGGCCCATGGAGCTGAAGACATGGCCACTGGGAGTGTGTGGGGCAGTCAGCTGGGGCAGGGTCTGGGAGGCAAGGCTGGAGGAATTCTGAAAGCAGGACTCTTCCCAGCAGAGCTGCCTCTGGGACAGGGTCCCTGTTTGCAGAGCTCTGTGCCCGTGGGCACAGTGATGGTACAGTGATGCTCATCATATCATTGTTTGAAGACACCAGAAGCCATCTAAATGTTCATCCCTGTGGAGCTGGTTAAATTAATCAGCATGCACCTGGTATATGGAATCCCAGGCAGCAATGTGAAGTGGGGTTGCAATGGGAAAACTCTCAGATTTATTGTTAAGTAGAAAAAGCAAGGGACAGGTGTGTGCATAGTATGCTCCCATTTGTGTGATGAAACAACGTGTGGTAGCCAAATGTATGTTCATACATCCATAGACTGTTTTTGGAAGGCATTTGAAAAACTCTCTGTAGTTTCTCTGCGTGGGGCTCTGGGAGCCTTCAAGCTTTGATCTTTCTTTCTAACTCTGCTGGCTACTAGTTTCTTGAGCCATGTGCATTTGTCTGTGACAAAGTTTAGATCATAAAAATAAATGTAAGAAACAGGATGTCAGATACTAGAGAGGTTAGTGAGTCTGGGGACAGAGAGGATGCATGGGAGGTGTTGAGAGTCTGGAGTAGCTGGAGGTAGGAGCCACAGGGGAGACTGTGACTCTGACTGCTCAGAGAGTCTCACAGAAGAGGAGGTGGGGGTGGCTGGTTGGGTTCACTGAGCCCCATTATGAATGTGTGGAGTTTGCTGAAGGTCCCTGGCAAGCTCTGCACAGGAAGCTCTGCACAGGCTCCACTTCACTTTGGATTAGGTCCCCTTTCTTTAGCCACTGGAGCTTGAAGGAGGCCTAAACTGGTGTTAGATTTTCCATTGCTAGGACAAATACCTAACACCCACAGCTAAAGGTGCAGAGGTTTAATTTGGCTTACTGTTTCAGGGGTTCAGGCCAGGTCAGCTGGCTCCCAGGCAGAAACTTCATGGCAAAATAGTGTGGCAGCAGGAAGCAGGGGAGGAAAACAGAGCCAAAGAGGAAGGGGCTAGGGACTGTATATAGTACCCAAGGTCACACCTCTGTGACCACCCAAATACCCAGAGGGTGCTTACTGATCCCCTGAACATTTTTAATCCCATCAGGTTGACATCACAATGAACAGTCACAATCCACTCCTTGTCAACTTGAAAACCAGACACATCTCCTTAAAATATACTTAATCTCAAATAAAGACCATAGCAAGTTCATAATGAACATCATATAGCTATCCTGAGCACACTGAGCAATGCACCATTTCCCTCTTGCAAGTCTCAACAGTTCTAGTATTCTTCAAGTCTGAGTCAGAGTCCCTTCTGAACCTCAAGGCAAACTCCTATCTATGAACCCGTGAAAGAATAAAAAACAACTTATATAATCTCAAGGTACAATGGCATGGAGTAACCACTCCTATTCCAAAGGGAAAGAATAAGGAATAGAAAAGCATGGGACCAAATCAAGACCAAAACACATTTACTCTCATGAGATGCTAGATCACTATTTCTCAAACAGTGCCCCATGTAACCCCATTCTCTTGAGATGTTAATAAATATGGAGGAAGGAACACATGCTCTGGGGTAACAGTTTAGGACACAGAATTAAAGAAAGATTCTGTGGGGCTTTCAAGAATCTTTCGTATGTTAAAGTCTCTGAGCCACAAGGGTAAGGAAGTGAGGTACAGAGTTCCTCAAATGATATTACTAGGAAATTCCTTTTGCAAGGAACTTCTTTCTGGGGATTTGTATCATGGACACATGTTTATGTTGATTTCTGCACCCTTTCTTACCCTATTCCAGATATTCCTGCCCTTCCTATGTTAAAAACAAAGTGGTAGTTGCAACCCGCAAACTTTTCTCCCTCTGATATTTAAGAAATGTTTAAATGACACCTAATGTTTGCACACAATTATGGGATACAGTGTAATTCTGTGTGTATACACTGTATGGTGGTGAAGTCAGGGTAACTAGGGTCTCCATCTCCTCAGATGTTGGTCATTTCTGTAGTGACATTCATTCCTTTGCATTCCAGAGCAAGGAGATTGGCCTGCAGATGCACGAGGAGCTCCTGAAGGTGACCAACGAGCTGTACACAGTAAGTTCTGCTGTGGGGATCTGGGCTGCTTGTCTTCAACACCCAGTGTGGAGGGGGTGCAGAAGCCTGGGGTGAGCATGGACCTTTGTGTCTTGTGCTGGAGTGACAGGGGGTTTTCATTTTGGGAAGAACTGACACATAGCCTCAGCTTCAGATGCTTTGTACTTGGCATGGGGCTAAGCGTGTCGAGCTGGTTAAAGTTTATTGAGATTCCAGTGACCTGTCAGGCATGGAATGTGTTACCTAGGAAAGCAAAGAATGTCAAGTAGGGCTGGAGGAGCACAGCATGAAGGCTCCTGATAGCTGGGATGTGGGCTTAGGAGTCAGGTGGCACAGGATACTTCCACGGACCTGGGACCTCAGCAGGAGCACAGCTCACCTGTGTCTCAGCATCCTCATCTACAGAAGGAAGCCCTGGCCTGAGGATGACCTGAGGTGATGGGGTGAGCCCTCCCACCATTTTGGGCATGGCCTTTGGACAGTGCAGCTTGGTGCTGAGCTGAGCTTCTGATCACGTGAGAGGCACGATCTGACTACACTTGAGATGTGTGTTAGAATCAAAGCTGGCAAGTGATGGAGGGTGCAAACTCCAAGGGTGGGGTGCAGGAGCACTGTGTTCTGGGCAACCTTTGGTTTCCTTGGTGAGGATGTGGAGAGGCCCATGAATGGCCTGGGATTGGGGGAGGGGTCCTCACAGTAGCTAGGGTGACAGCCCCCCCAGTGACAATCGAACCAGGTGGGACCGTTATGTCTCAAATATGCACAAGTTCTTCTCAAAACTCATTAGAAGTGTGTGTGTGTGCATGCGTGTGTGTGAGGGATTCTGCTCTTTGGTGTTCTAACCTTTCTCTGTTTGCCTCCTGCACAGCCAGTGCCAGTAGAGCCTTCAGGAGCTACTGGTCTTTGCTCAGGGCCTGGACCTCAGGTCAAAGGTCTCGTTCAGACCTCAGTCACTGTAGGGACTCTGAGCAAAACATTTGCTTTTCTGGGCCTCAGTTTCCCAATCAGTAAGTGGGTTGAGAGTTCTTAGATAAAAGCTGAAACTTGCAGTTCTATGATTTCAGGGTATAAAAGTTGAGTCCTGGAGTTTTCAGCTGGGCCATTCCTGGTGTGAAGGAAGAACTGTATTCTTTTTATTTATTTAAAAATAACTTTATTAACAAACACACACAAATACAGAAATTAAAACCATTCAAAGAAGAACAATGCAAGGGAAAAAATTACAATAATATTCAGATACAGTAGAACTCAACCAAAACAAAACTGAAAAGCACTTAAACATTTTTCCATATACCTTAAAAAAAATCTCAAGCACCAACAAGACACCGGAGGATGTGATTTGTTTCAGAAAGATCCCCAAAACCAACAGTGAACAAATAGTCGTCTGGAAAAAAACCTTCAGTTAGCTAGCATACTCCACATAAGCCAAACTTCTCCCTAATTTAAATTTTGATACAGTCATATGACACTTGATGGAAACACAATCCAAGAAATATATTAGGCCATTTCATCCGTGTGTATCCTAAATTACACTTTCAGTTTCTCACACTAGAGAGACTATTTGGTATTTACACATATGTGTCTTATTTATTTCACTTAAGAGGATGGCCTCAATATGCATCCACTTGGCTATACATGTCTCTAGTTTCTGGTTCTTTATGGCTGAGTAGTACTCCATTTTATAAAAAAACCACATCTTCTTTATCCATTCTCCAGTTGATGGGCACTTGAGTTGTTTCCAAACTTCAGCTATTACAAACTGTGCCACTGTAAACATGGGTGCACATATATCATTGTGGTATGATTCTTTTAATTCTTTTGGGAAGATACCCAGCAGGGGATAGCTGGGTCGAATGGGACCTGTAGTCCTAGTTCTTTGAGGTATCTCCATACTGATTTCCACAGTGGT